GCTGGCGACCCCCAGGGGGAGGGCCTTCTCTGTGGGTGCCCCTACCCTCTGGAATGAACTACCCCCCGAGATCCGGATAATTCCGGATCTCCTTACCTTCCGTCGCGCCCTCAAGACATGGCTCTTTCAGCAAGCGGACCTGACCTAGGGTGGATTTTATATTGGGTTTTAAATATTCGGAAGACGCAACAGTAAAATTTGGTTTAATTCGGTTTTAAGGGGGGGATTGCATATATGTTAATGGTTTTAAATATGTTGTGCGCCGCCCTGAGTCCCTGTCTGGAGAAGGGCGGCATATAAATTAAATTAAATAAATAAATAAATAAATAAAGGGGAAGGGGGGTGGATTGATTGTATACATCTGTGTTTTTAAAGGATGAAAATATATGTCTGCCAAGCTTTTTAATTTTCTTTGCTGTTTCTGCTATACCATTTCGTATGGTCTTTCATTAAAGAACATACCTGTAATTATCTGTTAGGAATGAAATTTATTAGACTTGATTATACGAGACTTCTTAACAATCAGTTTCAGTTCTTTAGTCCTACCTCTATCCCCTTATATAGAGAAATGCATTTTTTTTATTTAATTTGTTTATTTACTTTATATCTCACCTTTCTACTTGTCTGAAAACTTAAAACGGCTAACAATAATTAAAATACAGAATACAAATATGAAAGAATATAAATTAAATGTAATGCTAAAAGTCCATTAAAAGAATTCATCTTGCGCCAAAATGAACTCGAATTTACTCAGGCATTCACCACTTGAAATTTTCATTTTTCAATTCCTACACATGTATTTATATTAGTATTGTATCAAGGCTAGTAACATAGTTGCAGTAGAGAAGTATTCTCCCTATTATTGCTTAAAATTAATCCCTTTGAAGAATGTTTATTTTGTCAGGCATACATTAAAAGAGAAAATTCACCTATACTAAATGAAAAAAATGAACATTTCAGTATTGTTGACGTAGTTCAGTATGACGTAGACATACTGGTCTATATATCTTTCTGAATTTTCTAAGCATGAATAATTACATTCTAAACATGATCACAATTGTTCTCTTACAGAATATATTCAGACCATCATGATGATGGAGGAATCTGTTCAACATGTGGTCATGACAGCCATTCAGGAGGTAAGGAGTTTAAAAATACATATATAGCCAAATTCATACTATGTGAATCTTTTAACAGTTCAGAAATATGATCACAGATGAAATATTTTTTAAACATAAATTAATCATATCTTCCATTTTGCTTTCATGTAGAATATTTACATTTTTGAAAGTTAATGCATCCCCTTTCCTATTAATTTCCACCGAATCTTTGAATAGCATATTTAGCAGTAGATATTTTAATAACTGAATTTCATTATTATTAATGAAATAGGGAAGGCTCAGTAACTTGGAAAATCTTTGTGAACTTTCCTGTGAGTAAATACCACTGAATTGATTGGGGCATACTGAGTGATGTGCTGACCCCCAGCTCTGGAATTTCCCCCCCAAAATTACATGCATAGAGAAAAAATGTTTTCTAGGCCAGTGGTGGCGAACCTATGGCACGCATGCCAGAGGCGGCACTCGGAGTCCTCTCTGTGGGCATACGTGCCGTTGCCCCAGCCTCGCCTCCCCCCCTCCTCACCAGCCCCCCTGGAGGAGAGTCGCCCCTGAGCATGGCCTACATAGAGCAGTACAGCCAAGGACATGGCAGCCACGTAGTGTAGACAAGACTCTGCCCTCACGCCCCATCCGGCACAGTTGATGCTGCGGGATGCGGGCAGAGGGCGTGGCCACCATGGCGCTGCTGGGCTGCCTGGGTGATCTGCGGCAGGCCCTGGAGGCGGTGAGTGGCCCTGCAGGCAGGCAGGGTGGTGGACGGGGTGGGTGCAGAGCAGGGGCGGGGCAGGGGGATGGAGCAGGGGCGGAGCATGTTTTTGGGCACTCGGTCTCTAAAAGGTTCGCCATCACTGTTCTAGGTCTTTTCTGAACTTGGTTTTTTTTTTGAATAAATTTCATTACCAGACTATGTAATATTGACATTGGGAGATGAACTTTGTTTTCTGTTTATATATTGTAGTTTATCCTACCAGACTTGTATCATCCTGTTTGGAAGGATGAATTCATTGCTTCTTCTTGATGCCATGCTATTCTCGCTGCTTGCTGAAGTGATTAGGTGCTCACTTCAAAGCTCTGGTGATGTTACCTAGTTTGGTAATGAAATATCTGGAAGAAGGAAATCAAGTTCAGAAAACATCTATAGCCCAACAATTCAACCCTGAACTACATATTCACACTTTTGAATTTATTTTTGTTTCTTGAATTCTGCGGTGTGTGCAGTAGTAATTAATAGTGTATTGGATTTATTATTTTGTTGGAATAGAAATGTAGAACGTGACCATGTTTCTTGTCACATGTACCCACTGCAAACAAGTTTCTTGGCTGCTTTATACAGGACTTTTTTGGGAGTGGGGATGAAGAGGTAGTATACTAAGTAAATCTCTAAGAACCAACCTGCACTAATGTGAATGTGATAACACAGAATCAATAACAAGGATTCAATAGATGCTGGTGCAGTTGAGGCACTTGCTTCTCTGCAATTAATGAAAGTAGAAAAACAAGAGATTTTCAAGAGCAGAATATACAGCTATATATTCCAGTAGTGTCCTCTTCCATCCTTTCAGAATGTCTGTTCACAATTGCCGTTCAGTAATACAATACCACCATTTGAAATTCTTCTATTTGCAAATCAAGTTTCATTTATTGTTGGTTTTTTTTGAAAACTGGGGAATTATTTTTATTAGTCTCTGATGTACCCTGTATCTTACCAAATTACCAGTATATTTGATAATACCACAATATTTGTTTCTCTTCTTTGTGGCAACTCTAGTTTATGAACAGTATAAGTATTTGTAGCAATAAGTTACATAAAATAATGTTTCTAATTCTTATCTCTTTCCCTAAAATTAGCTATGTTGAACCAAATAGTAAAATGTAAATTGCTTTCTTGATTAAATAAGGACATACCCAACACCCATAATACAGTACCTTGTATTTTAAATGCCCTTAATTCTTACATAGATACAAATGAGTTTTTTGCTTTTTCTAATCCAGTGTGATCTTATTGCAGTTGATGAGTAAAGAGTCTCCGGTCACTGCTGGAAATGATGGTTATGTTGATCTTGACCGTCAGGTATGTAACACCTACTGCTATTTTTTTCCTTCCATTTAGTAGAGTTCAGTTTGCATAATTTTGGAGCCACCCATCTATTTTGCTTTGTTTTTATCAGTTTATTTTTTTTATTTATTTGGAAAAGTGTAAAGGAAGCAGGCAACAAATTAGTGTCTTATTGGAACTGGTAAATTGTAGGAATTACAACTAACATCAATAAAGTAACATAATTATTCTGTTAGAATCATTGCCAGAAGGCAGCCTTGACGATGTTACACCACATTTTGATTTTTTTAATCTAGTTACCAGAAATGAGGTCAAAACAAAAGTATGTTTATCAGGTCCAGTGTGAAATTTTGAAAGCTAATTAGAGGCAAAGCTGGAGATGCAAAAACATCTGATTTTATAAAAACTGATACCACTGATATTGAGTAAAAAAAAACCCCAGTATTTTTTCATATTTTCTCTTTACATATAAAATCAAAATTTTAATTTCATTTGTAGCATTATTTTCTTTCTCTGCCATTTTAACAGTCAAACTGGCTTTATCTCAAAAATGCTATGAGTCTTTTTAAACTAGCAATTAGGTTCTTCACCAATACATATCTCAAAGAAATTGATTACTTTAGAGAAATGCTACTCGTGTTAAATGCTGTACATTAATAAATTATTGAATATAATACACAAATATAGTATGGAACATAATTGGGAATATGCTTCATGCCATTATTCTCAATAGGCAGAATTAAACTTTGAAAGACTTTGGAATTGAATCTTTCTGAAAAATAATTTACTTAATATGAGTAAATTATTTCCCAGCATTCAAGGGTACATCAAATTAGACATCAGCCTGTTTTAGATACACTATTTATTCTTAAGTTGCCTTTATCTTTTATGGTGCTTCTAAAGCATATTAAAGAGTGCTTGGTTGTTATAGCGAATGCTTGATGTAAGCTATTGTTTTGTAGTAAACAGTTCAACATCACAAACACTTTGTAGTTGGTTGAACTGTAATGGGAGCTACTTTGAATGCAGATATAGAATTGAGTCCTTTATTTCTCTACTTAAACATGAGCAAATCATAGGCAAGAACCTGATAGAATAGACAGAAACGAGATAGTTGGATCAGGTAATCTGACCTGGTAAGAGATCTTCCTTAAAGAAGCCAGTCTTCCCTAGTTTACTGCTGTTCAGATGGGCCAACTTTCCCCAGATTTTCAATTATCACTTTGAAATTCATGGGTTATAGCCCAATTTATCTGGGGAGGAACCATGTTCATTGATGGTTGTCCCAGAATAGATATCAAAAACTTTGCAGATTTTATCTTTGTTCCTTGTGTTAACTTTCCTGGTTCACGTATGTACAAAAACAGTTGAAATCAACAAATTACTTCTTTAAGGGGAAAGCTTGTAAGGCTTGAAACATTATGTATAATAAATTTTCTTATATAGAAAGTTTGTAATGTCTAAATTTATCGGATTGATTACATACCATCAAGTCATTGTGGATTCTTAGTGACCACATAGGTAGATTTTCTCCAGGATGATATGTCCCTAACCGATGCCATCAAGGTATACCCACCTCTGGTCATCCTCCATTAGAGCTGAATCCAGAGATACATGATTGAAACTTAACTACAATTATCTTTAATACTGTTGTTACATGATTTGTATTACTTGAATGCTGTGGCTCCTAAGTTAATTAGTGTATGAATATCTGGTATAAACATACCTCCTAAGATGCAACATTTTGCCTTGCGTGCACAAGAGAAAAATATTGATGTAGGTTTTGTCTCCATGAAACAGAAAGCTTTGCAGATAAATTGTCAAAATAAATTAGAGGGCATGCATAATTATTTTAAATATGGATTGATTATTTGGATTACTATCCTTTTTTATTTTTCATACCACTATTTTTAATAAATAAAAATATGTTTTATTTAAAAACACAGTTGAAGAAAACAACGGAAGAATTAAATGAAGCCTTAGCAACCAAAGAAGAAATTGCTCAGAGATGCCATGAACTAGATATGCAAGTAGGCACAGTATTTTGCTGTTATTTGCAGTATTGCATGAATCAGGGAAATGTAGTCTGTAGCCTTTCAGCTCTTTTTTTTATGAACCTACAGCCACTGTAGAGTTTCCCATTCTGAGGTAGAAAGGATAATTTATGCTCTGACATATGCTACACCTGGATTAGAAAACATCTGCAGATCACCACTCCAAATAGGGAGAAACTGAACAACCCTGCCCATCTAATAACAGTGTTCCCATATTGTGGTTTTTGCCTTGCTCATTGTTACTCTATCAAAACACCCCAAATCCTTCCTATGAAAGAGCTGGTTTGGTTCATAAGCAAACAGTCTGTAAGGTCGACTGAAGTAATACATTATTTTAAACAAACAAGCAAACTTCAAAGATCTTTTAGAACTACTTTTAGTAGTAGAACTCTGCCTTTATACTTGTCCTACATAAATCTCCTTGCCTCCTTCCTGATTTCTGTTTCTTAGCAAATCAAAGTCTTTTTTTTTGTTCAAGTATACCAATAAATTCGGGTTGGTTGTAAAAAGAACCAGTGCATGAGGAGCAAATTTGTGATCCCGAGTCTTGTTTGCATCAGACCCAATGGTACACATAATTATTGGTAACTTAAAATCAGTCAGTCTTGTATCATTGAGTGTATACTGTTAAAAAAGGGAAATTGACCTGAGATAACACTATATTTTTATTGCTACAAATTCCAGCGTCTTAGTTTAGTGAATCATATGAAGGTAGACCAGTCCAAATTTTTGTTTTGAGTAGCATTTTATACCTGGCAATATGGACTTGAATGGACATAGATGTAGATTTATTGCCTTATTAAAAATCCACAGAATATTTATATAATACTCTTAATATTTTCAGAGAGAGACAATCAGTGTGGTTTAGTAGTTAAGATGCTGGACTAGGAGTAGGGAGGGTCAAGTTTTAATCCTTTTTTTTTTTTTAGGAATGAGTGATTTTGAGCGAGTCAGTGTCTCTCAGTCCTAGATTGGGAAGTTGAGAAACATATATCTGCCAATTTGTACTGAACCAGCATAATACTGTATGACTTTCAGTGAAGAGGATTTAAGTTGCACTTAATTGATCCTGAATGATGATGGTGATGGTGAAGATGATATTTTAGAGGAACTTCATATAATCTGATTCTTAAAATATCATTAGAAATCAATGTTTATAGTGTTTCTAAATAAATCTTGCTGGTTTCCTTAAAGTATTAGTCCCAAATAACTATAGCTACAATTGCAATCTTATGAGTTCATTGTAGAAGTAACACTAGCAGAATCCTTCAAGTATTTTAATTTCAGAAGAAGTTGCATCCAAATTATTCTGGTTATGTAGTAGGGTTATAGGTGAATGAGTACACGTGGGGATGGATACAGAATATATCTGTTGCACGTGTAGGCAAATACACAAGCCCCAGTTGTTTGTCCTAGAAGGAAGCAATATCGGTAAAGTAATATTTCATTGTAACACATAGTTCAGATTCAA